GCTGATCAGACCAGTTAGAAATTAGGAACCGGAGCTCTTAAGCCCAAATCTGGCCTAATTGTTGGAGACAATTGATGCTGCACTGCTTTGCCTGCGTGCTGAAGTTAAAATCTATCAATTTTGTTGTGCTTGGTGAATTAAACAGGCTTGGCTCAATCAATGTAAAGTTTAGCACTGGCACTAAAGTGTGGTCCTTAGCTATAAGCTTTGAAAACTTCAATTATATAATTGGCTCGTCTGTGACGTTACCAAGGGAAATTGAATAGCTTTTAAACCACAATCTTAAACCTTATTTTCTTGAGAATAAGCCCTAAAGATTTGAATGAAACACTGAGAAACATTAATCAACCATCTTTCAGTCTAGCGTGTTATGTAAATCTGCCTCTTGTTATTACTTCGTTTCCTTCTGCTGCGCGAACCCAGAATCATTCTGGTAAAAGCGTGGTTTAAACACAGGAAAACGTGTCATGCAAATATAGCCTTTCAGATGAAAGTTTTGATTAGGAAAGAATTTGCTCCATTAATTTTGAAAAAAAAGTCTGCATTGGGTCTTTGATGCTACCCAGGTGATTGGGTTCAGTTTTCGGTGGGGATTTGGACACCTGTTCATTAAAACATGTGTGGTGGCCAAGTTGAAAATGTTCTGCTTTTAAATAATGGCTTGTTATTATTTATCTATTCTGTAGATGTTCGGATCAACCAGATAACTAATCTACTTTCCTTTCTTTTTCTTCATAATGCAACCAATATGTTACTTTGTAAAGTGAACTGATTATGCAACAATATGAAGGCAGATGATATAGTGAATTTATAGCAGTGTATACTGCTTTTTTCTTTTATCATATTTATCTCTTTCTTCTTAATCAACATTAGGAATAACACTGATCCAAGAAGGACCAAGCAGACAGCAGGGATCCCAACTGATTTCTGTATTCAGCTTAACAATAGTTTCATTTTCGCATTATTCATCACTATTATATGTACCACATTAAAAAGTTTGAGGTTTGGATTACGTAGTGAGGTCAACATATTGATCTTTTTGATCACCTTGTGGGTTCCCTAGGGATAATAAAAAGTCAGATCTCGGCAAAACTGAGGACAACAGAAATATCCCATTAGCTTTTGACCTATTAGCATAAGGTACACCAAATCAATGTTTGATTCACCATATATATTTGAGGATAATTCAAGAATTTCAGGTGCCAGAAAGCACCCAAAAAAATCAGGTCTGGCTTATTTGGTCTATCCACAAATAGTTTAGGCATTTCTTTTTTTTTATTTCCTGTATATACTTGTGTATAAGCCAGTGTTGAGAATGGGAAGATGGGATTAAGACAAATTCAAATTCCCGCTCCTTCTTCGATTTAGATCAGTGTTTCTCAACCGTGGCCACTTGAAGATGTCCGGACTTCAACTCCCAGAATTCCCCAGCCAGTGAA